ATGGTTTTTGCTTTATTCATTATTATTTATTTTTTTGATTCAATACACAGGGGAGTGGTGGAGCGGCTGCACCGAGCAAAGCCGGACAAGGTGCTCGCGGCCTTCGGCGTCCACCCGTACTTCGCGCACAGGTCCGTAGGGCGTGACACGTAGCGTGGTGGTGCGTGAGCTGAGTGGTGACCAGCGCCGCCAGCGGTGGTGTTCTGTGGTGTGCAGGCTCGCGGAGGGCTGGCTGGAGGAGCTCCGGGAGAAGCTGGTGGCGAACCCGCGCGCCATCGTGGGCGAGATCGGGCTGGACAAGGCCGCGATCACGCCCGACACCGCACGCAACGAATACGACGCACAGACCACCGCGTTCACGGCACAATTTGACTTGGCCGTTGAGCTGCAGCGGCCCATCAGCTTCCACTGCGTGCGAGCGTTCGGCCATGTCATGACCCTCTTCCGCCAACATGCCCTCCGATACGACCAACTGGTGCACCAGTCCTTCGCCCTCACCCTCTCCTGTTTCCCGGCTAGCCTCACACACGCCACACGCCACACACGCCACACATGCCACACACGCCACACACGCCACACACGCCACACGACAGATGCGAAGCGGAGAGGAGGACAAGGCGCGGGGGACGCTGCCGCCTGCGATCATCATGCACTCGTTCGCGGGCACTGTGGGCGGGATGGAGAGCCTGCTGAGCAACAAGGGCCGGAAGGGCAACATCCAGGAGCGACTCTACTTCTCCTTCTCCAAGATCGTCAACATGCGCGCTCCCAAGACCATCGACGTACGCCCGACACGACACGACACGACACGACACGACACGACACGACACGACACGACACGACACGACACGACACAACTCATTTGCGAGAAATGTCCACAGGTAATAAAGGCCGTGCCGGAGGATCGGCTGCTGATTGAGAGCGACCAGCACTCGCCGGCACACGGCGAGGAGGATCTTAGCCGAGTTTGTGAAATCGTCGCAGAGGTACGCTTCTTCTCTGTCCATCGAACGACCGCCGTGGCCGTGTGCCGCGATCGCAGTTAATGAATCACACGCACCAGGCGCGAGGATGGAGCGTCGAGCAAACCGCACGCATCACACACGCCAACGCGACTCGTGTCTTTTCATTCATCGCTTGAACGTTGGTTGCCAACTGTCTTAATAGCAATCGTCGTAGAGCTCGATCCACGTCCGGGCTCCAACGCTCCAGTAGTGTGTGCTCCCTTCAAACATCCCCTCTCGCCCAAGCGCCTCCTGCAGCTCGTTGAGAGTCTCCTGCTTATTGAGGGTCTCATTCATGGTCTATACATTGAACATAGTGTTAAGAAAAAAAATAGCAACATGTGGTGGATATCGCCTTGTTGTAGTTTATTGTAATACATCGTTCACTCAATCACACACTCCTTTACTCGACCACTCGTCAGTCGAGCAGCTGTACGTGGTGTGAGGGGAAGGCCCCGCATCGGCTGGCGTCGGCCTCACACTGACCGGTCCACATGCCCGACGCCGAATCCTTGACCAACACCAGCACCACCTCGCCCTTCCGCAGCATCCCGATCCTGCTCTCCCCGCCGCCGCTGCCATCGTAGTCCCGTACCACCCGCGCCCTCTGGAACCTCCGGCTCAGTCCCTGTTCATCATCACACACGCACCACACGCAACACCGCACACGCGCTGTTGGCTGATGGTCACCAGAAGGGGATCAGGCTTAGAGGGGTGCGCACGGTGGTCTTGGGTTCTTCGGGGGAGGGGTCGACGGCACGACCGAGCAGCCACGACCCGCGCCTCTTCTTTCGCTGTTGTTCGGGACTCGCCGGCGGGCTGGCGCCAGAAGCGGATTCGATGGAGGAGCCGGCCTTCTTCTTCATCATCGGCGCTATGAGCGACGAAGAGGCCGACGAAACGCCGATGACGCTCCCCGATCGAGCCTTGTGGCCCGCTGTACCTACGCCGGAGGCGGCCCTCATGGCGTGCAGGTCGATCCGTTCCCGCGGCGACGAGATCGAGGCCGACCGGCGCTTGGGCGAGGCCAGCGGCTCCTCGACCACCGCAAGCTTTGAGGCCTCAGCGATCGGGTCTCGGCTGGTCTTGCTGCTGCCACCGCCGCTGCCCAGCAGCTTGATGATCCGGCTCCCGGCCTTCTTGGTAGGGCTCACCTTCTTCCCCTGGGAGACGGCGCCGCCGTGGTTGCTGGTGTCCTCCTTGTTGGGCGAGGCGGCCTTGTTGAGCGGTGATGACTTCTTGCTGGTCGTCGGGCTCACCTTCTTGCCCACCGTAATGGGCGAGGTGTGTTGTGATGGTTGATTGCTGTGATGGTGGTGGCTGGTGGTGGAGGAGGACGTGTCGGCCGATCTTCCCCTCCACTCCTTGAGCATCTTGAGCCGCGTCTCCTCGTCCTTTTGCTTCTCCGCCAGCTCTTCAACCACCATCGCCATCACTTTCTCTGTGATGCGTTGTACATGCGAGCGCGTGACAGAAGGTGTGAGCCGCCACAACACGAACTCGAGAGTGATGGACAGCGGGACTTACGTTTGACGTTGGTTATAGATCGCAGCTTTCGGGCCTGTTCCTTGGAGAGCAGGCTGACGAACCTGGACGGGAACAGACCGTAGCGCTCCTCTCCAAAGGCGCCCGTCCACCTTAACATTCACCCACCCAGCCAATAAAAACGAATAATGTCAGTAGTGGAAGAGGCGACGTAGTCTGTGTCGACACACGATCGAGCTACGTACCAGCCGGAGGGGTCTTGTTCGTAGACCTCGATCACTTCGCCCAGGTGGAGGTCCATCTCGTCGGGCGCACGGGCGGCCCACTCGTAGGTGACCAGCCCCCGGGGCCACTCGTTGTCGACCACGCTCTGGTAGGGAATCGCGGGCTTGGGTACCGCCGGCACCTCGGCAGGCATGCGCGGGGGTGACAGCGGACTCGCGCCGCCCGGCCTGGGCGACTTCGACAGTGAAGGCGACAACAACGTCGACCCCGCTGGGCAGCCCTCGCCGCTCGACAGCATCTGGTCGTCGCCTTCGGTATTGGTGGCGTCAGCGCGTTCTACGAAAGATTCGGGGAAGTAGCCGCAGCTGCCATCGGCCTCGGCCTCGCCGAACCACCAGGGGTCGCCCTCGCGCTGGTCCTGCAGGTAGACCAGGACGATGTCGCCCGCCAGCAGCTCCAGCTCGCCGTGGGCGTCCTGGTCGGGCGTGTAGTCGTACAGCACCCGCATCCGCACCACCTCCTCCTCGTGTGTGCGGTGGCCGCCGGCACCTGCCGGCACCTCCACGTCTGGCACCAGCTCAGGCTGTTCCTGGGGCTTCACGTCCGGGGCCACCACCACGGCGGCCGCCTCGGTACTGGGATCTTCTCCCTGGCTCACGGACTGCTCGACATGGGCCTCCGGCGTCTGGTCCAGGATCACAAGTTCTTCTCCTGCCGAAGTGATGGGCGTCAGCTCCTCCGCGTCCAACGCTCCGTCGTCGTCCAGCTGGAAGGTCGGTATACCGTCGCCTTCCAACACGCCCACGCCGTCGCCGTTTCCGTGGACGGGCTCGGCCGGGGCTGGGGCTGGGGCAGACTCTGAGTCCTCGGTGATTTGGGCCTCTGCTACCAGGGACGGTGCAGCCTGATCGTCGGCGACGCAGCACTCCTCCTGGATCTCGGCTGGTCTCTCTTCTGGCTCCACGTCAGCCGCTGGATTGGCCACCGCTGGTGGTTCGGGCTCGGTGCGAGGCAGCTCGGGGCAGAAATGCGGGTAGTCTGCCTGGCGGACGGTCGCAGTTGCAAGCTCGGGCTCCCGGCTCTCGTCGACCTCAACCGGGTCCTCCACCAACGACGCTGCACGGCTTCGCACCTTCTTCTGATTCCTCCGCTCCCTCTTCTTTCGCCGCTTCTCCTCTTCCCTCGCCCGAATCCTTGCCTCCTTCTCCTCTTTCGTCTCCTCTTCCCTCGGTGGCGCCCCAGGCTTCAAAGTCGGCGTCGGCGTCGGCGTCGGCATCGGCGTCGGAATAGGCGTCGGAATTTTCTTGGGTGCAGGGGTGGTGACTGAGGGAGTGGCTGGGACGAGGTCGAGGCTGGCGTCGATGGAAAGGCTTCGCTCCCGCGCCCTGCGCCGTCGCTCTCGGCGCTTGGTACCGGTCGACAGCGGCTCGGGCCTGGCGGCGAGGCTGGCTGCCCGCTGGGTGCGCCGCGCGGTGAGGAGCTCCAGCTTGGCCCGCGCCACCCGCCGGCGCTCCTCCTCGGCCGCCTCCCGCTCCCTCTCGGCCTTCGCCCTTTCCCTCTCCCCCTCTGCCGCCTCCTTCTCCTCTCTTCGCTTTCGTTCTCTTACTCTCTTTTCCTCCTCTTCTCGCAATCGTCGCATACGCTCTCGCTCGGCCTCTTCGGCCTGGCGCCGTCGGCGCTCGCGCTCCTCCGCGGCCCGCCGGGCCGCCACCACCTCCGCCAGCTCTTCCTCCACCTCGCCCCGCCGCCCGGCCACGCAGGGCCAGTAATGGACCACCGCGTGGGCATCGGCCTCGGTCAGGTGGTTGTTGACCCTCAGCAGCTCCTCCCTCATTTCACGCTGGCGGGCCTCCTCCACGCGCCGCTCAGCTTCTGCCAGCTCGGCCAGTCGCTGCCGCTCGCGGACCTGCTCGGCCTCGAGCCGCTGCCTCTCAAGGGCCTGCTCGGCCTCGAGCCGCTGCTTGGCCTCGAGCGCGCGCTGTCTCTTGGCCGACTTGCCGCGCCGCCGACGCTGCCTTCGCTGCTCGGCGGTGGACAATTTCCGCTTGGGCGTGTCTTGAAGGGAGCTGGCAGCGGCCGGGTCGGAGCTCAGCGGCTGGTGTTGGCCGCTGTCGCTTGCCTGGCGTTCGCCAAGATCACGCCCAGTCTCGGCCGATTCGCGCTGGCCCAGGTCCTGAGGTGGTTGTGTGGTGCCATCGTCGTTTCCGCTGAGGGCGCGAGGGCTGGAGGGGGCGTTTTGCTGCTTGGCCCGGCGTCTGGCGGCCTCGAGCTTCCTGCGTCGCTGCTGTGCCTTTGCTCGGCGCCTCTCCTCAAAGATTCGCTGTTTCACCTCTTCCTCCTTCCTCAGCGTCTCCTCGAACACTGCAGTGTATTTGAAACCAGTGGTTGCGTTGCAAGGTTTGAGAAGATTTGGTAGTGCGTGGGTAGTTGAAGCTGGTGGTGTGTAACAACCAGAAGATAGCCACACTGTTTGAGGGGGGCATACCAATTCCAAGCTTGACCTTCGCCCCGGCCGCAGTGGACTTGGGTCCCAGGTCCATCCCTCGATCAGTGGTGGCTCGAAAAAAGACTGATCCTCACTCCTTTTCGTTGGTTCCAGAAGAGCTCGACTGATCCACGCCGACGGGAAAGGAAGGGCACACCACCACCTCAGCCACGCCTCAGGACCACAAGCTTTTGAATCTGTTGGATGTCAGCGTGGCCGAAAAACGGAGCACCCCGTTTTGAATATCGCCCCTGGTGACTACGAGTTGATGTCAACTCCCATACACCACCAACACACGAAACGCCCAAGGCAGAGGGTATAGGGTAAATGGTTTGCTTCATTTCACTCCATTCACACTCTATATGTCTTCCCCACTCACCTACCCACTCGCGTAGGCGTCGCGCCGTAGTCGTAGAAATCACCATACGCGCCCGGCACAGGCATGCACCACCATCCAGCCTCCACTCTTCCACTCCCCCACTCCGGCGCGATGGTGCCAATCGTTGTCGTCGTCGTCTCATAATGTTATCGTAGCGATGATGGAATCGAGACCAACGCAGATCAGGAGGAGCTGCTGAAACCGCACACGGGCCGGACGACGGGCGTAGAGGCGTCGATGTCGAGTCGTTCGAAGAGGCCCTCGAGGTTGGTGCAGAAGCCGTCGAAGCAGTCCGACGACCACGAGCGCAGGTCCGCGATCTGGCTGCCGAGATCGAGCTGGTCGGGATCGGCCGCGACGAGGGACGTGTAGAGCTCGCCCAGCTTGGCGTCCACGTGCTCCAGCGACGAGATCGACTGTTCGATCTTGTAGAGAAGCAGCACCTTGTCCAGCTCCATTTGGTCGAAGCCCCTGTAACTACCTATTGACCCACCTGCATCAGCGACCGCACACGCACATGCACACATCGACCAACGAGAGACGACGCACCTTCGCCGTCGAGGCAGAAGCAAGTCCTGTTCTGGCCGTCGCACACGCCACAAGCGTCGACGACCTTGCCGGAGCCGGGCACGCCGTCGCAACCCACGCAGGTGTTGTTGCCGCCGCATACTTCGCATGAGTCGGTAACGAGGCCGGAGCCGAGATTGCCGTCGCAGCCCACGGTGGGCGACAGCAGGACCTTGACGACAGTCGCGTTGGAGGTCAGGTTGGCGTCGTTTTTCACGTAAAACTTGAACTGGTCCTGAGCGTCGCCGATCGGGCCGGTGCTCTGGTAGAACACATACCAGCTGCATTCCACCACACACGCACACGCGTCAGAGAATGCGTAGAGAATGGACAAGGAATGCGTGTGGCCTGTGTGAGGAATGTTCTCTACCTGGCGAGAGCCGCGCCAGCGCTGGTAATCTCCTTGCCGCGCGTGTTCTGGTTCTTGGCGTAGAAGAGCTTGCCGCGCGCGGGAAGCGTGTCGATGATGTAGGTGATCGGGCGGTAGGTGGTGTCCGAGCCGAAGAGCTCGACGAGGGTGATGACAGACTGGTCGATCTCGACCACCTGCGTGAGCGACTGCACGCCCGACACGTCCCAGAAGGTGCCGCGGTTGAGCTCACCCACGTGCGGGTTAGCATCCTGGGGGGCGTAGGGCATGGGCGCGAGCGAGAAACCGGAGCCCTCGTTAGCCCGGTAGTACGCCTGGAGGTTGGGTGTGTTGCCTGCAGTGCGCGTCCGGTCAGCAGATGGACGTGCGTGCGTGCGTCGTGCATCGGGTGTCGTGTGTCGTGCGTACCAGGGTAGATGGTGAAACGGTTGTTGTAGATGTCCTCCTCGGAGCGCGTCACGTCCCAGAACTTGATCTCGTCCATCCAACCGTTGAAGAGCTGGATGGCGGGGTTCTGGAAACGACCCAGCTCGAGCGGCCGGGTGTCCTCGAGGTGCTGGCGCGAGTAGAACTGGGGACTGGACGACCAGCCGTTACCGTTCGTGAGCACGCCGTCGAGGAACAGACGTATGGCGCGTGGGTTGGTCGCGTTGGGCCGGTGCTCGATGGTGAACGCCACGTGATGCCAGCGGTAGGGCTGTAGCTTCACGCCGCCGTTGATGTTGACACCGTAAATGAAGGTACGGCCGTTGGGCGCGCTAGAACCGCCCATGAAAATGTTGAGGCTGCCGTCCGGTCGCACCTGGAACACAAACTCTGTCACCCCGCCCAGCAGTGAGAACACACGACACGATAAGACGCAACACTCACACGCACGACACGACACGCACTGCACGCACGACACCAATGTTTCTGGAGCGAAAGGGGACAAACCAGCAAATCTGTTGATGTGGGTAATGCCAAAGGCAGCGTCGGGGAGACCAATGACGTCGGGGTCGGGGTATCGGGAGAGGATGGGCTTGAACTGACCGTCGCCCGGGAGGGGCAGGGCGATCCAGGCCTCGAAGGTCATGTTGCCCTTGACCACCCGCGATAGCGAATCGAATTTCACCCAGCTGCCGGGGGCGTTGGGGAATGTGTAATCGAAGCGGAGGGCCGACAGGGCCGAACCCGCCACCGGGCCGGCTGATGATGAAGGGAGGGGGGGTGAGAGATTGACCGAGGTGAGAAAATGCGAATGATGAATCATATATCTTTTGATTTTGGTGAATGAAGAGAAGAGGCTGAAGAAGTAAGAAGATGGAAAGGATCTGAAGGAGGGGAGGGGAATACCTCGGCTGGAGGGGACCATGACGGCCGCCACAACAACCAGGGCGAAGAGGAAACAGGATAGAGAGAGTCGCATGATGTGTACAGCAAAAGATGGAGCGAGTGAGAAGAGGGGAGAGAAAAACTCCAACCGGGTCTCCTTATCTTTCTTCTTCTTCTCTTCTCTTCTCTTCTCCTTCTCCCAGATCGTCCCTCCCTCGACACAAACACAGCTGAGTCCGGGGCGAGACACACAAGTTTTTATGGTTCGAAAACAGAGGGACATCTCCATAAGAGGTAAATATCTCAACCAGGGCAACACAATAAACCAGGGCCAATCGCCCCACCGAGCGTACTGAGAAAAATAAGAAACAAAAGGGAAAAAAACAAGGTCAATCCAACTAACAAGATGGGCCGGCAACAATCCTTTCATCCTTTTCGAAAGGAAACAAACTATTGATTATGTTGATTGAATGCGGGCTTGGGCGATTTCAGGGACTCGTACCAGGGTGTCTCCCATGGTCTTCTGGTGGATCAGCCACTGCTCGTGCTGCCGCACCACGTAGTTTCCCTTGCTTCTCTCGACACAAGCCGAGTGGCCTGGCGCAGCGAGAAAAAGAGAGGTCACGCTTGGAATTTGAAAAACGGGACATCAAGAAGCTTAGTAGGCTATTTCACATTCCAAACGGCTCGCAACTTTTTTTCTTTTTTGTCGGTTTCCGGCAGGCAAGAAGTCATCTCGATCTGGAATTGGAGGAAGGGAGAAGGTGAGGCTGCGGCCAGAACGAGCTCGCGATAAATTAAGGGCGTGGCGGAAGGGCGTGTGCGAAGATGAGCGAATCACGCAGCACGCTGGAGAGATCTCTGAGTGTGGCGGCGTCGAAGGGAGATGACTGCAAACTGCAGAGCTTGCTCGACAGCATTTCCTCCTCATCGAAGAAAATTAACATCAACTATCGCGACGCGAACGGCACCACGGCAGTCCATCACGCCGCCTTCAATGGGCGGCTGAGATGTTTGCGAGTGCTGAAGCGCTATGGGGCCAATCTCGACCTCCCTGATGAGGAAGGCTGTACGCCGCTACACAACGCCGCATTCCAGGGCCACGCCGACTGCATCGACTTCCTTCTTCGATCAGGGGTGGCGGTTGATCACCACGACATCGATCACTCGACAGCGCTCCACAAGGCGGCGTTCAATGGAAATCGCTCTTGCCTCGAGATACTCCTCAAGAAGGGCGCAGCTGTGGACAGCACCGACGTGCTTGGCATCTCGGCCCTCCAGAAGGCCGCCTGTAACGGCCATCTCGAGTGCCTGGAGCTGCTGCACGAGTACGCGGCTGACGTCAACAGCCGCGACAACACCCAATCGACGGCGCTGCACAAGACCGCCTTCAGGGGTCACTTCGAGTGCGCTCGATTCCTGGTGGAGAAGGGCAGCGCGCAGGTCGATTGCAGAGATGTCGAGGGCACGACTCCTCTTCACAATGCGTCGTACGGGGGCTATGGATCGTGCATCAAGCTCCTCCTCAGCCATGGGGCGGCCATCAACGTCCCATCGAACAGCGGCGCAAGCCCCCTGCACTACGCCGCGGCTCGAGGCCATCCGAAATGCGTCGCCATGCTCATCGCGCAAGGGGCCGACATTAATCAACAGGACGCTCGGGGGATGACGCCCCTTCATCTTGCTGCGCTCGAAGAACACAAGGAGTGCATCACCACGCTGCTCGAGAGCGGCGCCAATCCCGAGCTGCGCAACACCGACCGCAAGACGCCCGCAGATCTCGTCACCAGCAAGCGCACGCTGGCCCTGTTCGAGAGCGTCACGAAGCGGAGGCGCAGCAGCTCGGCCTCTTCTCCCACCACCGGCTCGCTTCGCGTCAAGGCACCACCTCCCCCCCGTTCTTCTCTCCTCTTTGCACTCCAGAACCCTAACCCACACGCGACCACCGGCGAGCAGAGCACCAAGCAGTCGAAGAGGAAGGAGCTCTTCCGCGGCGAGCAATCGGAGCGGCCGCTGCGGCTATCTGACAAAGAAGGCGAGACGGGCTCGTCCAAAGGACGAAGGTCGAGCAGGGCTGGTACGTGACGTGTCGTCAACGAAGCTCTTCCCTTTGCTATCGCTTCTCACCATTTGTTTCTTCTTCTTCACGTGCACAGATCTCCACGGCGTCGAAGGTACCGAAGGAAACGGTGGAGCGAAGGAAAAGAACAGTGGCAGCCAACTGCGCCGCGGGACAAGCGAGCGTCGACCATCGCGAGCGGAGTCGATGAGCATGGGCAGCACCAGGGACCGGGAGAAGGAGAAGGAGAAGACCACCAGCCATGACCGGAAGCGGGAGCGAGGGGTCAAGGGCGAGGAGGACGGCGGCGGCAGCGGCATCGGCAGCAAGATCTCGGGAGCGTCGTCGAACAGCGAACAACAGAACGGGAGCAGCGCCAACCACTGGGCCTACGAAGGCGCCACGGACGGCGCCGCCACGAATGGGCACAACAGCATGGAGCAAGACCCGGAGGAACAGGCGCGACTCAACGCCAAATTCGATCGCTACGGGTTCCCCAAGCGAGACGAACGGTACGCGCATCTTCACCCTTTGTAAAGCCTGCACGTAATTGCGGTCTTCTTGATGTTGACCATTGCGTTTCTTGTTGTCATTCTTGTTCCATGTCAAGGGAGGCGGACTTTGAGTTGGAAAGCAAGAAGAAGGAGATCAAGCGCGAACTGAAGTGGGCCGAAATGCTGGGGTCGTGGGACAACAAAAAGTGGAAGGGCAAGGTAGGACCACACATTCCCGCTTCTGCCAACCCTTCATCTACAGTGACTCACCATCTGTTGTTGAACCATTCGATCGTCGCACAGTTGCGAGAAAGGGTGCTCAAAGGGATTCCTGACTCGGTGCGCGGCGAAGTGTGGAAGCACCTCACGCGCTCCTCTCAGCTCAAAACCTCGCACCAGTCGGGAACATACAAGGTGAGCAACCCCCCCCCGCCTCTCCTCGGGTCCTCAAGGTGGTTGGTATCTCACCGTGAGACCAAACCACCTTCGCCCCCTTCCCAGGCTCTGCTCAAGCAGGAGACGCCCAGCGAGGATCAGATCACGCGAGACATCAACCGAACATTTCCGCGTCACATTTTGTTCCAAGACCAGGGTGGTCTTGGCCAGCAGGTTCTTTTCAACGTTTTGAAGGTCCGTGCCGCCCTCTTGTTCTGGTCATTATTGTTATTGTTTTTGTTATTATTATCGTTTGGTATTTATTCGTACTGGTGCGTATTCACTCACGCTCTTTCCCGACCGCAGGCGTACGCGGTCTACAATCCGAACGTGGGATACTGCCAAGGGATGGGATTCATCACCGGCCTTTTGCTTATGTATATGGAAGAGGAGGACGTACGAAACCCCCCACCACCCTCCTCCAATCTTCGCTTCCACGCGTCGTTGGTCGCTTAGTGTTCGTCGTTGTCGTCGTATGCGCGTGCGTGCCGCATCCGCTTCTGACTTGGTTGCGACACTTGAACGACAGGCTTTTTGGGTGCTGGTAAGATTGTGTAGGGACTACGAGCTGGAACCGATGTTTTTGCCTGGACTGCCTGGGCTGGGGCGATGCACCTTCATCCTGGACAACCTTTTGCAGTCATTCATGCCCGACATCGCCAAACACCTGGTATGTTGTTCTCCACACCACAACGCACTCTGCCTCTGTTGCCAACACATCACACAACATGAACAGGAAAACGAGAGGGTGATCAGCAGCATGTTCGCCACACAGTGGTTCATCACGGTCTATACCTACAACATGCCTTTCTCCATCGTCCTCCGCATGTGGGACGTGTTCCTGCAGGAGGTACGGCCTCCAGCTGCCCATCCGCTCACACGCAATTCCTTGACGGACTGGCTGACTGACTGGGGCCAATGGGCTCACGCTGCACTACAGGGCTATGCTGCTGCATTCGTGTTTGCCATCGCCCTGTTCAAGATATTCGCGGACCAGATCAGAAAGAAGTCCTTCGAGGGTCTCCTGCGGTTCCTCAAGTTCGATCCAGATGAGGTGTGCCCTCTTTGCTTCTCCTCCTCCTCCTTCATCGTTGTCGTCGCCTTCTTCTAATCGTCTCGACTTCGTCATGCATGCATGCGATTTAGGAGTCGGAGCCGTTCCCCAAACTCGATCCGGAGAAGCTCATCAAGACGTACAACAAACTGCACGACAAGGTCATCAGCAAGCTCGAACCCCTTTCGGAGAAGTACCGAGTTATTCGGGTTCGTTGCCCCCTCCAACCTGTGTTCATGTTCATTTGTTGATCGCTCGTCTTCTTTCTTTGTGTATACTTCTTCTTCTCACTCTTCTCGTTCGGTCCGCGCGTGCAGGAGCAAGAAGAGCGAGCCGAGCTGGCGGCGATGGCCGCCCGAGCAAACCGATCAAAGAAGACCGGAAACGCGGACGAATGATGCTGATGCTATTCGCGCGATAGCCTCTCCTTCTCACACCTCTCTTCCCCAAAGCGCTTCCAGTTCTCTCCTGCCTCTCTTTCCTTTCCTCCTTCCCTCCGGCCTGTATGTACTTGGACCTCTTGTTCTCTTTCTTGACCTTGGACCTCTTCTCTTTTCCAATTTGGGTCATTTCCGCCGAATTTTTTGCCAGATTTTTTTGGGCTTTTTCTGGCTGAACCAGAACAACACAAGGAAGGAAGAAGTACAACTTGCCTCGCCTCAAGCTCGCAGGTGTAGACACCTAAGAGAGCTGAGCTTGAAGACGAGGCTGAGGCGTTTGTTGTTTGGGAAAGATGGGAGGGCAGTCGTCCAAGGCAGCTTCGGGCGGCGAGGAGACAGACGGCGAAGGGCGCAAGAGGAGAAGGGAAGACGAGGACACCCCGCACAAATCACCCACCACAACTGCAAAGAAAGGACGCCAGCGGCATCCCAAGAAGAAAGCTCGTCCTGCTGGTTCGTTGCAATCCCATCTTGTATTTGCCGATTCTTGCCCCCCCCCCAACACACCAGAATCTCAACCACCACCTCCAGCAATCCAACGTACCTTCAAGGTGTGTCTGGCACCTGACGACGTGCGCCGCTTCACCATCCCTCTGGGTCTCTGGGTATGCATCAACGCTGTTCACTGTGCCGTGACGAGCACCACCTGGGCAATACTGAAACTTGGACTGCTGTGGTGCCAGTCCGAGTTCGAGGAGCTGCTGCGGTCGCAGTACCCGTGGGCGTTCGACCACGCCGAGGGCTGGGTGGTGGCGATCCGCTACGAAGACGAGAGCGGCGACCTGTGCATCCTCTCCTCGCAGCCCGAATGGGACGCGCTCTGCCACAACCCGCTCCTCGGCCGCATCGTCCGCGTCTTCATCAACCACGGTACCGTGGCCTGCTCTTCCGCGCTGCTGCTGCGTGTCGTGTGCAGTCTAGCTGTCGTGTCGTTGGTCGTGTCGTGTCTGTGGTGTCGTGTCGTGTCGCGCGGATCTGACACGCTTACCGCGCACAGAG